TTCATGAAGGAACAGGCTATTTCTAGAAGGACATGGCGTGATACTAGTCACGTGACCTCGCTGACGCAATAATATGTTACATAGAAGATTCATAATCAATGTTTTTTTTGGATTAAAGGATTTATACAACAGTGACCTAAGATTTAATATATGGTTAATTAATTTTCATCAAAAACCTGTAATACAAACATATTCTTCCATAATCAATAATGACAAAATGTTATGATTCTTTCAACATTTCTTAACAGTATTGTTATACATCTTTCTTGTATATATTGTTACGCCTCCGTTCGTTAGTTAATTTTCCGTAAATTCGTTCCGACGAAAATTTAGCGACACAAGTCCTTTCTTAAATAAAACTGGTTTATTCTTTCTGAATATAACTTTGCGATACACTTAATCTCAACAGTCGCGCTATAACAAACGCTATAATTCTCACCGAACGTCTCACGTGCTCGACTTCAACAATACTCAGTTCAATTACACACTCTCTGACTGCAGTTCAATTACTCATTGCCCCGTCACGTTGTGACCGTCTTATGTATACAAGACTAACACATATCTAGTAAATGCTAGGGCATTCATGAAGGAATAGGATATTTCTAGAAAGAGGTGGCGTGATACTAGTCACATGACCTCGCTGACGCAACAATATATATATTATTTTTAGTAGAACATTTTGTCAATTGAATTAGGTATTCCACGTGATTAAGAGCACTAGAAAGCTCGTAGGTTTAAATAAACCTAATTATATTCAAAAGGTACTAGTCTGAAAATATTTTTTTTACTTGACTGTACTTCGGTTTAGGATTACTTTATTAAAGTTACAGCGACAAAATATGACAGCTTTGAAATATAAAAAGAGGTGAAAGATAGAAAAAAATATTCGAATTCTTTTCTCTCCATCAATACGGCATGACACGTCGTTTTTCTGATCTCTCACACAGACAACGAAATGAAAATATTTATAATGTTCTAAGCTGATCAATAAAGCCTTCAAACATATTACCACAAAGTTACAGCGATAAGGACTGCATTGTGATATTGATGTTCAGAGACGCAGCTAATATTAAAGAGTGGGAGGAGGAGGCCTTTCCTAAAATATTGTAGACCTTTTCTTGTAAACAAGTAATTTAGGTGGCTTACATGAAAATCAAGTGTTTATTTGAAAGAAAAAAAATCAGAAGAAATTGGACCTTTTAGGCTTTTCAGAATACTGGGGTGGTCGTTCGTCCCCGGTTATGCCCGTAATGTTTAGCGAAAAAATGTTTTAGTCTACCACATAAAGACCGAAAGCTCAAGTCTACTGTTTAAATTTACTGCCAACATTCAAATATAAACCATATTATATTAGATTACCATTTTAGTATAACAAACTGATATGTCAGGTGAAGTATATGTAATGTTCATAAAATTCTACAGAAAAGGGTCACCCAGATTTTATTGATCGAAATGCAGGAACATTGCAGTTGGGTGGAGCACGCGCTCTTTTGTCTTGTATGTTACATTCCTGCCGTTAGAGGGTCTCCATAGCGGAAGTGTGAGGATGATATCACCTGCATAGTGCATTGCGGTGTGCTAATAATACCTCGACAACTATAACTGCGAAAGTAACAGTACTAGGGCGTGTAGGAGAAAACCCTAATGTGACAGCCAGTAATTTTCATAAGAAACATCGCTGAGTAGCAGAGTAAGACTGGTATTTTTTCAATTAAATATGAAATTATGAATTAACTTTTTTCGTTATTTCAACTTAAACTATAGGAGTTTAAGTTTCTTTAAGTAAGTTAACAGTTTAAGACGGAAATCGACGCTTTCCTCAAAATTAAAGTTTAGAGTGGGTTAAAGTTTCTTGCTTTTCCCAAGAATGGATGTTTAAGGGGCAGCTTTTAACTTTTTGAACGCCCAAACGGTCCCTTGCTATTCTTGAATTATGTTTCAAGTGTTTTCTAAATTCTATGTTATATAGTTTGTAGCCTTAGTTAAAGTTTAAAGTTATTGATTTGAAGAAAAAATGAACTAGGCCTCAAAATAGTTTTGAAAATAAATTAGAGGGTATAAATATTGATTATCAAAATATGTATGCCATAATTTAAGTTAAATATTCACGTATCATCTGTATAACTTATTTTGAAAATAAGGCATCACTTGGTAAGCATTAGAAATTCTATAACTTAGTGTAAAACTAAGTTAATTATAACTTATGTGTAATGAATTAATTTAAAACATTAATTTTTTTATTTTAATTGGGACAGGGTTTTAAAAAGTTTGCATTATTTTATTAAATAACTGATGACTTGATGGATAAATAGCCACCAGCGATAAATTCAACTTAATGAATGGGTACGTTTTAGGTGTATATTAAGTGTTGGTTGAATGACATTTTATGTGTGTGTGTTATTGAAAATTGTTACTTACACAAAGTCTTTACTTTATAGTATAGCAGTTATCATATTCAGTTATTGGTGTGAATATTTAGTTGAAAATAAACTGTTGTAACATACTATTAATGAAGAAATTAGGAAATAGTAACAAGTTTTAATTTCAGTAAAACCTCTTTATTACATAGCTAACAAACTTTGCAGTGAAGCATATTGAGACACTAGGCCTTGTGCAAAGCACATCAGTTTCGTTTAGCTTGCAAATTAGCTTAGGCTTTGACTTTCTCTCAGTGAAAAATATCTTAACACTTTCCATTCCTAATATTTCTTCATAAAATAAATGTGGTAGAACTTTGAGAAAATTAAGATTGCTAAAAATACATATATACTGATAAATGTTTTGTAACTGAACAAAATTCATTTACAGGTACCCATAGTTTCTTCACAATGATATATGTTTTGCAAAAAATATACTTGTAAATGTGAAAGTTGTAGCAGTTCATGGAAAATATTTTCTATGGCTGTGTTTGAATTTAAAATGTTTATGAATATCCTCCTGGGTCCCAGAAAAATTACAATATACTCATATAACTTTGCACCTTATATTTATTTTAATATACTAAACATGATGGCAAGAATAAAAATCATACTTGTTTAATGGAATGTACCTTATAAGGTACAACAGGATTGAACAAACTCCTTCTGTGATCTGATTTCAAATAATTCAAAATTATCATTTTCAAAGGACAAATTTGAATTGCTATGATCTTACTAGAATACAGGCTGAAATGATGGCTGCTTGTGAAGGCTTTACTGGCTTCTCTGCTTTAAATTTAGCTTCATTTTTAAAATTAAGAACTGAGCAATGTAACATTTTTAGTGAAACTATTATAAATTTAATATCACATCCATATAATGACTTGTCTTGTTGAACTGCTTTCAAAGAAAATAGATCCTGAACAGAGTTGTGGAAAAACAAGTTCTTTACTCTTCCTGATATAATAATAATATTTTTAAAATAACAATTATTAGTGTTGTTGTTATTAAGTTTTATAAACATATCATTTGATTACTTTTGTATGCTATTACTAAATGTATGCATCAAGATTGCCTTTTTGACTTGATTCACTTATGAAGTTATCGTAGAGTATCACAATAATAATAAAAATAAATTTATTTTAATAACATATTTGAATTTTATAAGGCATAGCATTATTATAATTAATGTGTGCAAACAAGTGACCAGAGATATCAAGGTTTTGATTCAAATATCATACTCAATAGCTACTAGATAAAGAATTAAATGTTGTCTTTCTAATATTTATTCTCCTTAATGATATTTAACTTTCTTAAAAGCTGACAGTGGCATCCTGAAATTCAAGTAGATTATTACCTAAATTATTACAATTTTAAGTGGTCAGAGATACCCTTGATTTGGTAACACATCTCCATAAACATGTAACTTACTATGAAATTACTGTTATCAGGTTGCATATTTTCATTGAATCAATGAGGTTATCTTAAAGTTGTAGGAATCATAATTTAAGAATTTGTAAACATGAATGTATGATGATGAAAGAAGTGTCTAAAGTCTAAATGTTAAAAATTACTTTTTATCATTCTTCAGGAAATCATGGATCCCCAGCCAAGAGATGTCAAAATTCTGGAGACAGTTGAAGACATTAAAGAAAGAAGAGGTCAGGTTTTGGGATTATATACTGAATTCAAAAATGAAGCTAGAGTCAAAAGAGAGAGGCTTGAAGATTCCCGACGGTTCCAGTATTTCAAACGTGATGCTGATGAACTTGAATCATGGATTAATGAAAAACTTCAAGCAGCTTCAGATGAAAGCTACAAAGACCCAACAAATCTTCAGGTTTATATATTGATGATTCAATATTTATTTGCATTATATCTTTATTATTCTTTTAACAAAGAATTACAAGTTCTAAAACCCCTTAATTTATATAAATCCACTTTCTAAATAATCCACATTGGTGGGCATTACATTTAAATATATGGAATTCTCAATGCTGAGAATTTTATAAGGTAAATTTTAACTGGTCAGCACTATATTGTGGCTTATAACTTATAAACTAAATGGAATAATTATATAAAACTTCCTAATAATTGTTTTTGTCTTTTTCAGGCTAAAATTCAAAAGCATCAAGCATTTGAAGCAGAAGTTGCAGCACATGGAAATGCCATTGTTGCCCTTGACAACAATGGAATGGACATGATCAATAAAAATCACTTTGCTTCTGATGTTATCAAGGTTGGAGACATATTTTGATTTTTGTAAGAAATTAATGTATAAAATATGAGCAGAATTTATTTATGTGTTAAAAGTATTACTGTTAATTATTCTACATATATGTGTTTTGTAAACCTTGATAAATTAGCTTCAAAAAATAACCAATATCAAATGAAGTACAGTAACATAACCTTTAAGGACAAGAGACCTGTTGGTTCACCCAAGCTATCCCATCCACTAAACTAAGCTACTAAAAACAAAACCAATTGAAAATGAGCCCTTATTATTCAAAAATTTATCAAGCATTTCTTTAAATTCCCTTAACTATAATGTTTCCACCATATCTGAATGCAACCCATTCTAAAGGCCAACTAATCTGTTAGAAAAATAAAGATGTTTTAGTTGTAGATGATTCCTACCCTACCAAAATTTATATTTGTCTTTTATTCCAGCCACCCAGTGGTTAAACTGTAAGTCTCAAAGCTTACAATGCTAAAAATGTGGTTTTTATACCTGTGGTAAGCACAACACAGATTGCTTATTGTGTAGCTTTGTGGTTAACAACAATATCACCATTAACTATAGAAAAAGATGCATCAATACTATCAGTTCTACTAACAATTTTGAACACCTTAATCAAATCCCTTCTAACTCTTCTTTTTTTTCATTAGAAAATAATTTCAGAAATCTTAAAATCTTTCCATCCTAAGTATCATCGTAATAATCATCCTCTAAATCCTTTCAAATAATTCATTGTCCTTATTAAGGTAAGAAGCCCTAGACTGGACACAGCACTACATATGTGGCCTAACCAATGGCCTATTTAGACTTGCATTCATTATTTCTGTAGATACAACCTTAAATCCTATTTGTCTTACCACTAGCAACAGCATACTACTTGGATGACTGATCATTCAGAATATTAAAATCCTTTTCTTCCATAACACTGTTAACATTATGTTCAACAAAATTATACTTACAACTCAAATTGTAACCTACATGAATTACTTTGTATTTATTATAATTAAAAACCATCTACCATATGATCTTAATCTTTTTGTAAAGCATCCTCCTCCTCCTCATAGCCAGTAACACCCAAGACTTCGATATCATCAGCAAATTTAAATAATCTATTGACCATTCCTTAATCTATGTCATTGATGTACATAAAATAAAAAAGACAAAGGCTTCTAACTATGAGCTCTGAGGTACCCCACTTTTGACATTAATCCAGTTTTACTGACCTCCCTCTGCTTTCTGCCATCCAGCTACTTTTCTATCCAATGAACCAACTTATCCTCCACACATAGTGAGATATCTTTTAAAAAAGTTTGTTATGTGGCATTTTGTCATATGCTTTCTGAAAATCCAGATACAACAAATCCACACATTTGTCCTCATCTTAATAAACAGTAACCTTTTCAAAGAATTTCAGAAAAATTGTAAAAAAAGGTGAGATTTTCCTCTAGTAAAACTATGTTACATATCCAACAAAATTTTAAACTTACTAGTGTTTTCTTAACTAGCTCAGGATTAATGTGATCATCTAGCAAGTGTTCAGGATAAGAAATATTGCTTACTCTTCCTTAGTAAAAATTGAAGAAAAAAAAGAATTTAATAACATAATGTATAGGGACAACAAGGGACCTATTTATCCATCTTCGCTGTCCCATCCCCTAAACTAAACTAAAACTATTTGTCAGGTTTTTGTATGGGCCAGAATTCTTTACAGTAGGTGTCTGTGACTTATTGGCAATAACTTTCAACAATAAACAGACAGCACACAAACCACTTGTTTTAAAATAATATATTCCAAACAAGTAAAATGTATGTACAAAACTTTGTTACACTGTTGTTATCACAGTTGTATTCAGAGATTTCAATAATTCTCTTTTTCGTCAAAGTCCACACAGGCCGGTTCAATTAGTTTAGAACACCCTTTAACTAGACAAATTATTCTCCTCATAATGTTTGTATTACACTTAAAAATGAAATGAAACAGTCGGGTATGTTCAACACTATTAAATAAATAAGCTTAAAAAAGTAAAAACCTTAAAATCAGCCCTTATCATTGATATAGTTATCAAGCTTTCTCTTAAACTCACTTACATTTATTGCCTCCACAACATCTGATGGCAACCCATTCCAGAGGCCAACCACCCTGTTAGAAAAATAAAACTGTCTTACAGAAGATGACTCCTACCTTGCCAAAATTTATATTTGTGTCCCCTAGTCCTGCTATTCTATCCATTAAGTATGAAAAAAGATGATGCATCAACACTATCAGTTACTTTTATAGATTTCATAAAATTTTATAGGGATAAGAAGGAGCTTATTAGCCCATCAAGGATGTCCCTTCCAGCTTCTAATTATAACCACCCCTTATGACTCATGTATTCATCCAATCTTTTCTTGAACTCAGTTAAATTTTCTGCCTCCACCACCTTTGAAGACAGCTCATTCCAAAAGCCAATCACCCTGTTTGAAAAGTAATGCTGTCTAAATGACGCCAACTTTGTCAAAATTTTAACTTATGACCCTTTGTCCTATTGTTTTTACTGCTAAACACAAAAAAGTTTGATGGATCTGTATTATCAATACCCTTAATAATCTTAAACACTTCAATCAAATCCCCTTTGACCTTTCTCTTCTCCAGAGAAAACAAGTTTAGAGATTTTAGTCTCTCCTAAAAGGACAATCCCACCATCCCAGGTATCAGCCTAGTGGCTCTTCTCTGAACGTTCTCCAACAATTCAATGTCCTTCTTGAGGAAGGGAGCCCAAAACTGTACACAGTACTCTAAATGAGGCCTTACAAGTAATCTATACAGTGAAACAATAATATCCCTTGTCTTATATTCAATATTTCTATAGATGCTACCCAAAATCCTATTAGCCTTATTGTTAGCTACAATACACTGTTTAGATGAATTAATTTAATTTTTGAACACAACACCAAGATCTTTATCTTCAACCACAGTATCTAATGTATCCCATTTACATTGTAACAATAATTTGAATTGTGAAAACCTACATGTATCACTTTACATTTTGGATAGTTAAACATCATCTGCCACATACTGGTCCAATGCATCAAATGATCTAAATCTCCCTGTAAGTCTGCCATGTATTTGATACAGTTAGCCACCCCAAAAATCTTAATATCAACTGAAAACTACAAAATTCTGTTATTCATTCTAGAGTCAATATCATTAAACAAAAGAGTTGCTACAAAAATTAAATCTGTGGGTGTGGGGGGAATGTTATTGAAATGGATAGAAAATTTATTGGAGAGTAGAAAGCAGAGAATAGTAATAAATGGAGTTATATCTGACTGGATCACAGTTACAAGAGGTTAGGTGTGACTCAGAGCTCTGTGCTGGGTCCTCTGCTGTGATTTATGGAGGCACCTTATCAAATGCTTTCTGAAAATCAAGGTAAACCAATTACACAATAATTCTTTCATCAACTCTTGCAGTAACATCCTCAAATAATGTCAGAAGATTTGTTCAACTGCTTTTGGTAACTCTGTAAGGCATCTTTAATCACACTCTCAAAAACCTTTCCAACTACTGATGTAAGACTAACTGGCCTATGATTGCCTGGACAATTTTTATCACCTCCTTTAAATATTGGACTAACATTAGCCAACTTCCAATCTTCTAATACTCTTCCACAACTCAATGACCTATAAAATCAAATATTTAAGTTCCTTTTAAAATCTAGGATAAAAGTTGTCTGCTCCAGGGGAATTATCAATTTTTAGGTTTCCTAACTTTTCTCTTACAATTTCAGAACTTAAAATGATATCTTTTACATCAATATTTTCCCCATACATTAAGTGCTCTGGTTGAGGCACAATACTTGTATCTTCCTTTGTAAAAAAATGAAGAGAACATATAATTTAATAAGTTTACCATCTCATAATCTTTCAAGATCAGCTCCCCACTATCACTTTTAAGAGACCAACTTCCTTTTTAACCAGCTATTTTGATTTCCTATAGTCCTGCAAGTCCTTTAGAATCTCAATCAGATCCCCTCTAACTCTCCTTTTTTTAAGAGAAAACAATTTGAGAGATCTCAACCTCTCCTCCTATGACATCCCAAGCACCATTCTAGTAATCCTTCTTTGAACCCTTTCCAACAATTCAATGTCTTTTCTAAGGTAAGGAGCCCAAGACTGAACACAATACTCCAAATGTGGCCTAAACAATGAAATTATATTCTCTTTAGACTTATATTCAATATTTCTGTAGATACAACCTAAAATCCTATTTGCCCTACCACTAGCAACAGCACACTGCCTGGATGGCTTTAGAGACTGATCGACTATTACACCAAGATCCCTTTCCTTCATAACAATGTTAAGGTTATTCCCATCCAAATTGTACATATAATTCAAATTATGATAACCCACATGCATTAACTTGTATTTATTATAAATAAAATCCATCTGTAATTTATTTGCCCAACTCACTAAATGATCTAAATCCTTTTGTAAAGCAGCAGCATCCTCCTCACAGCTAGCAACACCCAAGATCTTAATATCATCAGCAAATTCTAAATAATTTATTGAACATTCCTTCATCTATGTCACTAATGTAAATCAAAAAGAGCAATGGTCTTAAGACTGAGCCCTGTTGTACCCCACTTGTGACATTAATCTAGTTTGACTGAACTCTATTTATAACAACCTTTTGCTTTCTTCCATCCAGTTACTCTTCTATCCAAATAATCCAAGATAAGTTTTCTAACAAGCTATTTATGTGGTACCTTGTCAAAAAAAAGCAGAATTTCATAACCCAGCCATCTCGTAATCATCAGATAAAAGCCTTCCTTTATCATCCCTCAAAAGCCCTTCCCCTATCCTAACATTTGTTTTTGTCTTTAATGTATTTAAAGAAATCCTTACTGTTAATTTTTACATTCTCAGCCAAACTTTTTTCATACATCCTTTTTGATGTCCTAATTTCCTGTTTGACCAACTTTCATGATCTTCTATAATCTTCTCAATCTCCTGTC